CCCTAACCTTAGCCTTTCATTACAACCTTGTGAAAGACCTAGCTGATCTTTGAGGATGTATTCATGGGTGCTGGTATGTATCACTACAAGAAAAATGCCCATTTGCGACAAATATTTGTGACGGTCGACGCGGCCCTCGCAAATACATGTAATTTTAAGCGGGGGAGATTCGCGCCAAAATAATTGCGACACTTTAATTAGTAATGTCGCATCTCACATCGCAAATAGGTATGGAAGTGTTTAATTTGTGACGTGCGTAAGTTTGCGCTGTGGAATTAGGCTTTTAACAACATACTTTTGGTTTCTGTTTGGGTACTGAGAAAGTAGTGGGAAAATGAACTAGATTATCTTATGCATCAATATTGAGTTGTTTGCATAGTTAACGTAGTGTTCCTAATGATTACTATGGTTTTAGGTTTTTGAGCATTTCACTACATTGGTTTCAGAGTTGGAATGGGGGTCGTAGAGGCAATGCAACATTTGGAGTCGTTGAGAACAATTGCTTCACTTAATGGTAGTCATTCTGATGTAAGATTGGGACAATTGCCCATGGAAAATGGAGAGCGCTCTTTCCATTCCCAGTCACCTAAGTTAAAGAGGCGCAGAATCCCTGCAATCTATATCTAAATGTTATGCAGAGAATAATCTTTGGACTCAACAATTTTTACCTGTTTGTTCCTGTTTATGTGACTTTTTTAGTTGATTTGGCATGATCCTTAATGTAGTGAAAATTGGGAATGGATACACCTATGTTTTTTTTTTATTGATCCTTGTATTCTACTGCAGTGCAAATGTTTTTGGGGTTTCAATAGAGTCTATGCAGCTTTCATTTGATGCCAGAGGAAATGCATTTATTATTTCTCTTAATGCATCAGAGTGGACCTCTTTAGTCCAGTAACTCGCCTTCAGTTTGGGTTGGTTTGTTATTGTAGGGCTCAGATTCATCTCTACGTTCCATAAGGAGATAAAATGAGTAATCTGCTATGTGTTTATGTTGCTGGACTAGTATTCTTATGAAGCAGAGCTTGTGTCATACAATACTCTTATGAAACTCATTATTGTTGTTTTTATTTGCAGAATGAGAATGTCAGCAGAGGGAGAGAAGTTCTATTTTACTGTTTTGATGTGCAGAATGTTGTGTTGAATCTGATGGGGCTGCTGTTTGGAAGGATTCACTGTTTTTTAAATCATGATTTGTAATAACTATATAATTAAGCATAATAGGATTGTATTTCTTTGAGAATCATGTTCTGTAATAATTATTATTGCTTGCAGCTTTTTTTCTTTCTTCTGTTTTTTCTTTACCTCTTTGGGTTGTATGATTAGTGAATGTTTTATGTGTTTGATATTAGGAAACTTGAGAATGAACATGTTCGGTGACATGGAGAAAATGATGTTTTCTTTTATGCCTAAACCGGTCGAACCAAACCACACCAAACCAGGCCAAACTGCAATGATAGAATATTTTTCACAAGAACCAAACGACCAAATTTTGAAACAAGGAAAATCACTAAATACATAAAAATTAATTGAAGTTATGTCATGAAATTCATGCAGTGTCAGAAGACAATGCAGCTTTGATCCTCTCAACAGTGCAAGCAATCAGATTGGTAACTATTGCCACTGACCTGAGAGAGAGCTTGGCGGTCAGGCCAGAATCAACTAGAATTTGAAAGGCAATAGTGAGAAGGGAACCACTAGAGCCAGAATCCCCCATGCCTCCTCCATCTGGAAGGATGGCAAAGCCAGAAGGAAGAAGAGCAACATAGTCAGGGTCACTCCCAATTAGTACCACATTCATGGCAACAATGTCCACTGGAGCATAAATCACAAAAGAAGTTGTTTTGTCTATGCAGCTCTCTTGCAGTATCAGCATGTTGCTCTGGCTTGAATTCGCACTCTACAAAATTAAGTTCATTTTTGAAAAGGGCAAGGTTAATAATTCATTAATTGTGATTAGGAGCATAATATGGAATAATTAAGAAAATTAAAATAATAATAACAATAAGAGAGAGCTACATTTACTCGCAGTAGAGACACGCAATTTCCAGTGTTGCGACCATTAGCAATGTGTGCCATTTCTTGAACAATTCCACCATTGGAAAAAATGTCCCACTGCAACCACAAGTGATGAAGCTCAAGTAATTAGTCTAACCATTTTCATTCTTGTATTTCATGAATAATTTGGTTAATGTATTAGATCTGATAGATCATCCTAAGAATTTGAAGGATA